TACATTTTAAATAGGGTAACTTGTAATCTGTAACCTATTACATTTCCAAAGTAACCTTCCCAACACTGGTCATACATTAGTAACAGAAACTGCCGAAAAATCACGAAATCATCAAAAATGTTAAAGAAAGTTTAGGCAATATTAGCTATGTCAGCATGTCCAGTTCCATGCAAGTCTTATCCACCTTATTCTTCAACACGGAAGCAAGCGTATGGGCGAGACTTACGTTCATTAGCCGCTATAGGGAAATAATGAGATGAATATCACCGTGCAGTAAACAGTAGAACTGCATTACAAACCAGTGTGTTCATAATTAAGATGATACATAAAAATAATATGGTAATAAACCCCAGTTTGCAATAAGCAGCAAAACGAGCTGTTTTGCACAGCTAAAAATAGCTGGAAGCGGATGAGACCGATGTAACCGGATAGTTACTTTGACCCAATCAACAATAATAATAATAAAAATAATAAAAAATAAAAAATTCCCCATTAGGTTAAAGATCCATCTGACGAAGGGCTTGCATTAACTTTAACAGCCACTATGGTAGCGAAATGAGTGTCACTTTACTAACGTTAGATCCATAAAGGTGGAGCTAGACTAGGTCAAGAGAGGTGGAGCTTACGTGTAGCTCCTCCCCGCTGGACGTCTAGCGAGGGGGAGCTCCACGTAAGCTCCACCCATTTGCTCTGCAGCGAGCAGCCTCTCCATATGAAATAAACTAGCGGACTCATTACGGAGGATTCGCAATCCGAATGCGCTTTTTTCTAACAGTCGCATCTTTAAAGGGGTAATATGATGCTTTTTTAAAGATCATTATTTTGTGTATTTGGTGTAACAGAATATGTTGACATGCTTTAATGTTCAAAAAACACATTATTTTTCAAATACTGTACATTATTGTAGGTCCTCTATGCCCCGCCTCTCTCAAACGCTTCGTTTTCTACAAAGTCCCTCCTTCCGACAAGCGCAGTCTGCTCTGATTGGCCAGCTGACCCAGTGCATTGTGATTGGCCGAACACCGCAAGCACTCGTCGGAAATGTAACGCCCCTTACCATAATCGCGAGCTTCATCTTTCAAAATAAATGTAAAGACAGTAAATAATGTCATTAGTTTTACCATCAGTTCAAGCCCGAAAGGGGAACAGAGTCGCAGTACTGACACGTTAATGATGCAGTACACAAGCCGCGGTTAAGACAACTGACTCTACTTTGATGTGACGCTGTCTCTCTCTCTCACACACACACGCGCACGCGCGCGCACACACACACACGATGCGCAAAACTCCACATTTGAACAGTCAATAGCAAATACTT